CGGCTCGGCCTGGCCCGGCCCAGCCCGGAATGCCTTTCGCTTTTGTTTGGTTTTTTTCTCAGGGTGTCTCTTAGGCCTTTTCGAAAAACATCGGGGACGCGACGAGACGCGGTCGCGCGCGAGTCTCAGCGTCGTCGTGTTGGGAGATGGGTGCGTTTTTCTAGTATTGCACAGAGAAGGTCGTAAAACGACGGAAAGGAAGGGAGTAAAACTGGTCGTTCCTGATAACGCAGCCGCCGTGGCGGTGGCGGGCGGCAGAGCGCACGGGCCCGCAGCGGCCGAGCCGAGTCGAGTCGAGCGACACCTGTTGCCGCCCGCCGCCGGCCGCACGGGCATTGCGCAAGCCGCGTCGGTGGCGACGGCGGCGGCGGGAGCCGCTCCCTCTGCCGCGCTTGTTTGTTGGTCGCGTCGAGCCGCCGCCTCCGCCGCCGCTGCTGCCCCGTGGTCGCGCGCAGCTGCCACCGCCTGCCGCGGCGGCATGCGATGTGTGCGCTCTCTTGTGGCGTTTAGAGTAAGTACTACGGGTGGCCACCCGTCCCCGCAAGCGGCATAAACGCCGTCTGGCGGAGGCTGAGTGAACTTGCTCGGGCATGTCGACCCTGGGGGTGCTTGCTTTGGTTTGCTTGCGGTCAAGAAGGCCTTGGGTGGAAAGTTTGCTTATCACGTTACGTGGTTGGCTCAGCGGCGGTGTTGCCTCGAAAAATGTGAAATCTTTGGGGTCAAAGTCCATATACCTCATTCCTTCATTCTTCTCCGTAACAGCTTAAATTAAAATGACAATCCACCGCAATTTCCATTATTATTCAAAATTGAACTAGAAAATGTTGTCTGCCACAGACCTCTAAAATAGATTTGCATTGCATATATTTATAGGATATCCCATTAAATGCATTCAAAAGGAAACAAAATAATTATTTCTAACTTACAGTAGTATTCAATTTCAAAGTTCACAATTTCTCTTAATTAAAGGGATAAACCATAGTCAGCAACAGTTCTGAGAAATATCCATTCTATGGTGATTCATTAACAATGTTGCTTTCCATTTATTTACAAAAAAAATCTCCCTTGCTTTTTAAAAGTTGTTTTGACAGCTGTCAAAATTCAATGTAGGATCATGAAGCTTATCAATTCAAATATCTATTTCATTACATTAAAAAAATTACATGAATTCATTTCAATGTATACTTACCTCTCATTAATATCTTAATATCGTTTGCCCTACAAACTGCATAAATGAATCTCAACTAAAATTTCCTTCAATAACAATTTAAATAAAAGTGTTTGAATAATGAATACTTGAATCAGAAAGGAATTGTTCTTCATGACACGCATCATTTCAAATTAAAAATTGAGTTGTTACTTAATATTATGAAAAGCATTTTATAATCACACCTATGTAAATGTCTATTAAAGGGGAAACATTTGGTTATATATTTGATGCTCACGTCATCCTACTGATAGTAAGGAAAAGCATGCAAAAAATTATAATTCAGTTTTCAGAATATCTGTTTATTAAAACAAATCAACATCATGCAAAATGTCCAAACTACAAAAAAGGAATTTTTGTATAGTAAGACTCAGTCTTTCAATATACCCACCATTTCTTTGGAACATTCACACCAGTTTCAGAATATCAGAACAAATTGAACTATCACAGTGTTTATGAACAGTTTACAACCACAACCAATACAGACGCACTTGGTGCTGTAACACAAATCTGGTATAAATATAAAGTAATGTATAAATATGGATCTTGAATAAAAATCAATATATGGAATAAATGCAACGGAAAAACAATGATATGCTTGGTAAATGATAAAGAGAGAAAAATAACAATCCACAACTGGACCTAAAGCTGTATACGTGGCACAATCAAGCAAAATGTCCTTGTTTTCTCACAGGTGGGATGTCATGCTGAGTCATCCCTGCAATTTCTTCTTCAAATTTTCTCCCAGCTTATCCATAAAAGCAAAGGTATCCAAGTAGTCATCCCGAGTCACATTATTCATACCCTTAATGCAAATGGCAAGATCTTTTGTCATGAACCCGCTTTCAATTGTTTCAATGCAGACAGCTTCGAGCTTCTCGGCAAAATCCCTCAGTTTGTCATTGTTATCCAGTTTTGCCCTGTGCAAGAGCCCTTTGGTCCAGGCGAAAATGGAAGCAATGGGGTTGGTGGAGGTTTCCTTGCCTTGTTGATGGAAGCGGTAATGGCGAGTGACAGTGCCATGAGCAGCTTCGGCTTCGACAGTCTTGCCGTCAGGACATAGAAGAACGGATGTCATCAGACCCAGTGACCCGAAACCTTGCGCCACCGAATCTGACTGTACATCACCATCGTAGTTCTTGCACGCCCACACGAACCCTCCTTCAGACTTCATGGCATAGGCAACCATGTCGTCAATCAGCCGGTGTTCGTACCAGATTTTCTGCGCTTCGAACTTGGCCTTGTACTGGTTGTCGTAGATATCCTGGAAGATGTCCTTGAATCGGCCGTCGTACTTCTTGAGGATGGTGTTCTTGGTGGATAGGTACAGGGGGTAGCCGCGCGCCAGGGCGTACTTGAAAGACGAGTGGGCGAAGTCGATGATGGACTCGTCCGTGTTGAACATGCCAAGCGCCACACCGGGGCCTCGGAATTCGTGCACAACGCCGCTGATGGACTTCTGGCCTCCTTCCGAGGGCACCCACGTCAGTTCCAGGCGCCCGGGACCCGGCACGACGAAATCGGTCGCCTTGTACTGGTCTGCGTGCGCGTGACGACCAATGATGATCGGCTTTTCCCACGCAGTGACGAGACGGGGGATATTTTTGCAAATAATAGCTTCACGGAATACGGTACCTCCCAAAATATTACGGATAGTACCGTTAGGCGACTTCCACATCTGTTTAAGCTTAAATTCTTCCACACGTTTTTCATCAGGAGTAATTGTGGCACACTTAATACCCACATTGTACTTTTTAATAGCATTAGCACAGTCTATAGTCACCTGATCTTCTGTTTTGTCACGATGCTCGATGCCCAGGTCGTACGTATGTAGCTCGATATCCAGGTACGGCAGAATCAGCTTTTCTTTAATCAGGTCCCAAATAATACGAGTCATTTCATCGCCAAGGATGTCTACGACGGGTCCTGCCTTTATCTTGGCCATGATTCTCGTGCTGCAAGGTGCAGTACAAGACATCAACTTACTATGCAACCGCACACGCCAGTCACTCGATGTGAAGTGAACAGCACATCTAAGAAAACGCCCAGTCATATGTTCCAAATGACGTGGGACTGTTATCGTGGCAAGGAGAAGTTAAATCAGTGTTACTTATTCCGTACCACAAAGCCACGGAGCGGGTATTCGAACTAATAGTGAAATGCCACTCACGATAAATACGCATTTTCAATACATTGCATAACGAGTTACACACAGAGTATGCTACTTGCATTTTTTAATATAAACAAAACAATTGAGACAAATACGTCGCTACGCAACTTCACAACTTTCGCAGGAAACAATCGATTCTGTCCTCTACGCAGTTCGAGGACGCTACCACCCGGAGCAGCACTATTCACGAAGGTTAAGACAATCAGTTTCCCATGCGACCACTAGGTAGCAGGGCAGTTGCTCGGCATCCAGAAAGTGCGAAAACGCGCGCATTAAGAACACAGGTGTGGCCTTCGCGGCGACGCAAGGGGACAGTAGACTCACCGAGGTCGAAAGCGGATGTAACACGTTTCCTCTGATCGCCACTTTCTTCTCCGGTGCCACAGTCTTCCGGCATTCACTTGGTTATGCATATGAACCGCTGCTGGGTGCATTTGCAAGCGCAACCGCAAGCAAACGAACAAATCAAACCCGGAAGATTCGCCCGAGGGTGGTGGCGGGGGCGATCAAGCTCTAGTGGTTGTAGCGCGGCGGCGGCGGCGGAGGAGGAGACGTTTATTGGGTGGGGGAGAAACGGCGAGTCCGGGGATCGGTGTGCGCCTATATAAGAGCTGCGGAGCTACCTCGAAGCTCGACAACGTGACACCATGATCGCGAAAGGACATACCTCGGCTGCCGCCGCCGCCGCCGCTACCTTGCTGCTCCTGCTGCCGGTTCTGCTGGCATCTGCCCAGGACGCGCCAGCCCCGAAGAAAGTTTTACGTAAGTGGAGGGCGAGGCAAACCACACCACGAGGGCGGATGCAGGGGCGTATTTTTAGGCGGGTATTTTGGACCAAATGTCACGGGGAGGGGGTACACGGGTGGTTTCTAAGCGGCGGAGAATAGTCTGATCTCGCGCAGGTGATACGAAATATTTGGCGAGGGGTTCTGAAAATTTCAGTGTCATTTGCGAGAACTGGGTTTTATTTCGGAGGCTTCTTCATTACTTACCCTCTTCTTAAAACCGAGAGAAGACGATTCATATTCCTCTGACTCTCATTTCTTGTAATGAAAATAGTAACAAAATAAGGGTTTTCAAATCTGTGGGTTATTTTGATTCAAATTAATGTTGGTCCATTTAAGAATAATCCCTAGGTATCACTAATGAAGGCTTTTATGATACGTAATACCCACAAGCAATTTATAAGCTCACAGCTATTACTTTTCTTTCCTATACTCGTGACAATTAAAACGTGTTTCCAAATGTCCTTTGCAATGCATGCAGTTAGTATCTATTATATAAATACATTAAGACAAGAAATGAAAACTCATTAGTATCTGCTGACCCGGCCAATAGTCATATTTATTATCAAATGATGAGTGGAAGGAATCAAATCAGAATTCAGTAATGTATGGGTTAGTGCCAGTTCGAGGTTTTTACCTCAATTGATGTATCAAATGAAAATCATAAACTTTATAGCTTCCATTAGGGGTGTAGCGGTGATTACAGCAAATAATTATGATCAAAATGTAAAAGCTTAATTTCACGCGTCTCATGATACAAAAATTAAACCCTTGAATATAATAATGACTTTTTTTGCGATGCAAACGTACTATTTTTTACTGTTCTTCTTGCTGATAATTTTTTTCCATTAAACATTTTTCTTGTAGGAAAATTTTATTGCAAATGTGAGACCTTGTTCAGTCGATTCGAAGGAGACACACAAGCTGAATATTCTTGTAATCTTTTTCCGACGAATTGAAAGAAACACTATATGAAAAATGCATTTTAACTTTCAAGCCTAACGAATTCTTCGTAAGAAGAGAAAGTTATGTTACCGTGCGCCAGAAAACTCCGATTTTTTTCTGTTGTAGAGATGTTTTACAATAATGTAAAGCACATACATCAGAACAAAATAAAGCACATAATTTTGAATTTATGTGACCTCGACTTTTGTGGGAAACACGTTTGGAGAATTTTTTTTTAGTATTAATAGTATTGGTAATTTGATTTCCCAATAATTCAAAATGTTAGCAACACAATAAAACAATAAATGACATTGATGTTGGATTAAAGCGCGCGTTATTTTTGAAATCTAATTACTTAAGTGTTTTATTTTTTTAAGGCCTTTAAGGTACTTGAAGGAGTAGCCGAAGGAAGAGAACCACCAAATCTTAAAATTGTTAAATTCCAAAGTTATTCTAAGGCGCTACACGCTTGCATAAAATTGTTATAATGTTCATTATGTCCTTACTACAAACCTTTCGATGTTCCCTTTCAATCGTAAGCCTGTCTTGCGCTTCCGAAAACGAGAACATCCGTAGAAAGCTACGTTTTCAACCGGAGAGTTAAGTCAGCCGAATATTCGTAGATCAGCAATTCCATTTCCTGAACGTCGCCTTTCGATCTCACAACAACCACATAACAATAAATCGACGCGACAGCTGAGCATAACGAGGAACTGTCTCCGCCTTCCTGTTACTTTCACCTTTTGATTTTGTTTGCGTGAACTCGTTCGGTTCGGTTCGGTTCCAGCGCGGTTCCTCGATTTTCTACGCGAACCAGTTCTTCGAGGGCAAGAACCTCATTGGGACATTCTTGTTGTTCTCCAGTTCCCTAGTGCCCCACTCAAAATACATGGCTTTACTCGCGTGGTGCAAATATACGAGAAAACAGTGGCTTTCATCCGTTATATAGTTTTCGGTGCAGTGTGCTTGCGAGGGTAAAAAATGACATTTGAAAGCAGTTATTAATGCGTTGCTAGAATTAGAAATTTATTTTTACATAATATCTGCGAGTATTTCCTTTCAGAAATAAGAACACAGTAAATTATGTAAGACCGCAAGTTGGCATAAAGAATTATTACTGAGTGAACTTTTAGAGAAGAAACATAAAAGGATCTTGTGGCTTGAGGCTTTAACCGTGTCTTCTTCTTCTTTTATTCTTCTTCTTCGATGATCTACTCGATGTTTAAAGTAAGTTAACAATCCTAGTTCGTAAAACCAGATACCCTACATTGAATTATTGAGGAATAAGCTATATTACTTTTAATTTTCGACATTAATTGAGTAAGTTTCTCAATACGTGCCGATTATTTTTTGTTCTTTTTCTTTATTGTAAGCGACGGACGATAGAGCAACGAAACGATGGAGCAAAATGTTCGCTAAATTTATTGCACTCAAAATGAGTAAGATGAGGTAGTTGAAATATTTTCATAAGCGCGAGATTTAAGTGTTCAGAAAATGGAAAACAAATACATAAATTATGTCACCTAGAAAATGAGTTTCTATTACGTTTGAATCGTCCAATGCAGCAAGGGTACAACTTACATTTTCACAACTTTACAGGGGATAGAAGAAATGATTTGCAACAATATTAATTTATATTAATGATAATAATATTAATAATAATAATATTAATAATAATATTGTTATTATTATTATTATTATTATTATTATTATTATTATTATTATTATTATTATTGTTGTACATTGATTTGCAGATTCATTTGCAGTATCTATGCGTAATATATTACAGAAAAACTTTTTGCACAGTGAAAGCTAAAACTAAAAGGGAAGCATACCAATCATAACAATAAAATAGCCGAAATGTGAACATGTACCCTTTCTGCTTTGGACGGTTTATTACGTAATAAGCTATTAATCGGAAAATTATATAAATTTATTTAACTATTTTCAGAATTGTTTATTTGTTTTTACGAGTGTGCAAAACATGTAAAAAAGTCATCTTTTCAAAAGAGTGACGCATCTTTTACAAAATGTAAAGTAAATTTGCATGACCTCTAAAACAACAACTCTCTCGCCCTGTCAGCAATTTCCACGTTTTCACTTCGGCGAGGGGGCAACCCCAGCGGCGACCCGGTGAGAACCACTGGCCTAGTGGAAAAAAATACGTCGTCAGTGTCCGCTCGCCGTGACCGGAACTCCCTTTCGCATGTTTTGCGTTTCGCCTGCCGCCGCTCGGGGAAGGCCTGCTCGCCCGCCCATCCATCCGCGACCGCCCATAACGAATGCAGCTGAGCGCGCGACGCCTCGCCTCGCCTCGCCTCTCCTTCCTGCCTGCCTGCCACATCTGACAGCGGCGGCCGCGTCTCCGCCAAGAGATGTTCGCGGCCTTGGGAGAGACTTCCGCGACGGCGGTTGACACGCGCGGAGCGCCCTCCGTGCGTCATCCTGCGCCTCTCACCCTCGCCGCTTAAATTCAATTGTTTCTTTTCCTGTGTTTACAACCGGCGTACCGAACATGGCTCAGAGCCTGGCGCGCTGACGACGCATTCGGGAGGCCCGGGTTCAGTCCCCGTTCCGGCCATCTTGGCCGGGGCTTTCGTGTTCTCCTTCGGTCATCCAGGTGAATGCTTACGTGGTTCTACAGAAAGGCCGCGACCGCGACATCGGCGTCGCTAGCCGAATTCGTGAACTACGTGAAGTCTCAAATGTTAAACGAATTCGAGACATTGTGGGTTCCTGGTTGGGTGACCGACTGGAAACCCCGGGATTTAACGGCGCCGAGGCCAATTGCTCTTTACGGGACATATAATGCCTGAATACAAATACAATGAACGTTGCCAGTTTGAATTTTGGTAAACAATGAACGACATTCTTCATTTTGTTATATATTATGTTTCATGTTTTATTTTGCATAAATCTACTTGTACATTCGATTTTGATGAATTTTTTATCTATCTTTTTATTTGAAATTTTTATTTATGGTTCTCTGATAGGCTGCTGGCACTTCACGGCATGTAAAATGTGGAATCCAACCGATAGAGTAAA